TTCCTTTCCTTTCCTTTCCTTTCCTTTCCTTTCCTTTCCTTTCCTTTCCTTTCCTTTCCTTTCCTTTCCTTTCCTTTCCTTTCCTTTCCTTTCTCAGTAGATCGGTTTTTGGGCGTTTTTTTGAGTCCTCCTGTGCTATTAGGGTCAGTGGTATGAATGTGCATTCGTATTGTCACCAGGGTGGTTCCAATGCCAGCATTGATTGAAACAAGTCTGGTTCTGCTGAATTTCTCCTGGAGCCCTTGTGTGCTTTTTATATTTTTACAGCTAAAGTCTGGAGGATGCTGCTGAGGCTGTGTGGCACGAGGTGTGGCTTTCAGCACAGCCCATGTTAGACAGGGGAGTGTCCTGCTCTCTCAGGCACTTGGTAGGAGTGATTGTCACCTGTCCAAAGTGTCCAAGTGCAGAGCTTTGCAGGAGTGTGATCAATGCAGACTGAAGAGAGGAAAGAAGAGCTGAGAGCTCAYGTGGAGGACAGCCATCACAGCACAGCACATCCTGTGTAGGGCTCTCAGGCTTCTCCAGCGGTTCTTGGACTGCATTTTTTTTCTGAGAGGTACAGAGTGACCCGTGGCCTTCTTTGCCTATCTTTCACCTCCCGCAGGTTGGGCCAAGCTGACTTTGGTCACAGTTCAGACTGAAGGCCATTGTTCCCACAATGGCACCACTGTTACTGTTACAGTAGCTCTTCAGAGTAAGCACAGCCTCAGAATACAGGGTGTTTTAAGGTAAAACCAGTGCTGATTCTGTCAGCTCAATATGAGCCAGGAAAGWGCAGTTTCACAAGGCAAGAATTTTTTTTTTTAAAAAATCAAAATTACCTTCTCAAGGCTGAGGAAAAGATTTACAAGCAATTGCAATGTAAAAAAGMAGGATAAACTCGATAAAAGTTGACTCAACAACATCATTATAATTTGTTAAAGTGCTAAGGCAATAGTTAAAGCTTTTCTGCAGAGTATCTATTTAATTTCCAAAGTATGTCTTGACAAGAGTAATGACACACTTGACAAGTGGATGGCCAGCAAGACAGTCTGTAATTCTGGGTAACTTTGATGTATGCTGAAATCCCTCTGGGTTATTTGTATGCCAATGTATAGCTGAATAATAGTGTTCAAGAGAATATTCATTCATGTAATACTGAAGGCTAGAGAATGCTGATAGTTAGGTTGCTGGAGCCAAATTCCATTTCTGAATGTGCTGTATGATATGAGACAAATTTATTGGGGAGTTATATTCAGAAGAAGTTAAAATATGAAAACAAAACATGTTAGTGCAAGAAAACAATTCCTAATTAAAATCATTGATACAAGAAAAAGWAATTCACAAAAGCAAGTGCTGCTTGGAATTATTTGAGAGCTACTCAATCTTTTAAYTTGATCTTGAGGCTGAACTGTCTTTCTGTCCGTGGAGGTGATKGAAGTAAATACATCTTATTCTGTGCAGCAGTGTATCAATGACATGATTTTGGCTCTTTGGTAATAAAGCTGCTCAGTGAGAAGAGAGGCATTCTGGTGATTTGCAGAGGTGCTGAAATTGTAAGCCAGTCTGTAAGTCCTGTGTAGACTGTGCTTTCTGGTGGATTGAAGAAAAACACCCCAAGAAAATGCAAGATAAACTACTGGCTAAGCAAAGAGACACGTTTTTTGAGTGCAAGGTCAGAGCTATGTTTTTTAGCTGCTCATTATTTTTGTTGTTCTGCTGGAAACTGCAGTAAAAGGACCTTGCTGGGCATGCTGAACAAAGAGAGAGAAAGAAAAAACTATCTTAAGTCTTAGATGGCTCCAAAGTAAGCAGGAGCACTGGAGTGAGGAATGTCCAAGCTTAGTAATTAAGCCCAGTAGGGCTGGGAGGTCCTTTATTTCCCCTCTGAGAACACCAAAGCCGG